TCTTTAATTCAAACAATAAATAACACCGGAACTAACGGGTTTCTCTAAAAAACAGTGAGCAGGCATGCGAGCCGGCAGCACCCTGCCTCTGGGAGCTCGGCTCCGGGCCTTTGGAAACGCTTCTTCGGTGTTTTGTTTGCAGGATGGAAGAGGAACTGGCAGCTCCTTCCTCCTCTGCAGACAAGACGGACAGGTGAGGCGGTGGGCTGAGCTGTCAGGGGCTGTCTGGTGAGACACCGGGAGGTCGCCCTGCAGACAAGCCCGGCAGCCTGATGCTGAAGAGGCGGATGTTGTAGGCGTCGAACGCTTGTGCTCGCTGGCAGTCCGCGCAAATCGAGTGCAGCAGAACTCTTTAGAGGGCTAATTAATGCACAAATAGTAGCTGTCCTGTAGCAAGCTCTTGATCTGTGAGTTAGTAAGTGCTGTGGAGGTACAAGGACGTGACTAGCATGTCAGGGGACTCCTCTGTGGGCAGCTCCTCTTATCCCGGCCCAAGACAGGGGACTGGGATGGACCTTGTGGAAATGGGAGCTGTGCGAGGTGCGCTGAACTGAAACTAGGACTTGCATCTGTCGGTCTTTTCAGATGTGTCATGCTGTGCTCCGAGAAGTCACAATTTGGATTTATTCTTCTTGGCCTGGCTCGTGTAGGAGTCTGGTGAAACGTTGTGCAGTACTCGGTGTTGTACTGGTGTGCAGCTCTTAAAGTATATTCTTTAGCATCCTTTGTCATACCAGATTCTGAAACCCACTTCTTGTAGCGGTTGGTTAAGATTCACCTGTCTTTCCTTAGTCATTAAAACCAAAAGCTGATCCAGATTTAAACACAAAACTCCCCTACCCTGGTAGTTCCAACCAGCATAACTTATGCAACTCACTCTTGGATAAAGCTACCTAGGGTTTGAAAGCTGGATGTGAAACTTCCTGATTCATAAGGAGACTTAACAGAACCCTGTATTTGATTTATTTTTTTTTCCCCTCCCCCAGCATGGATGTGGATGGTGAATCGAAGAAACTATTGGGTTTAGGACAGAAGCACTTGGTAATGGGAAATATTCCGGCTGCTGTTAATGCTTTCCAGGAAGCTGCGAGCTTACTGTGAGTAGTAGAATGTTCTGTGCATTTTTGTAGGGCTTGGTTTTCTGCTTGACTATAGAGATGATGTGACCTATACAAGAAAGATTATTTTTCTTTACCTTGTATGCTGGTGTAGTTACAAAACAACTGAGGAGAGTATATACTGCTTAAAACTAACTCAAGGGTTGGACAATACTGTAGTTCGTGTGCAATTTAGACAACTTTTGTGATAGTGATTGCCAGTGCAGCTCCCTGTGAAGCAGAAGGGATTTGATATTTTATTTTGCAGTGTATGGTTCTGATGTGGTCTGTTAATATGAAAATAATGGGATAGTGTTACTTGCTAGCAACTTCTTTGCTAGACTACATCAGTGTCTGAGGGTGATACCTCTCTGGGTTTTAGATTAACTTGCTTTGCTGAATGCTTGTGAGAGCCACTTCTAGCTAAGTGAGAGGAGCTCTTGTTCCTTGTTTGAAACAATGGGAGTTGAGCCAAGAAACTGATTCATCCTGTCTGGGAATTTTTAGCTTTCAGGTAGGCACATGCAAATAATTCTTCATTACTTTCGTAGGGGTAAAAAGTATGGTGAGACAGCGGATGAGTGTGCAGAAGCTTTTTTTTACTATGGAAAATCTCTCTTGGAGTTGGCAAGGTATGCTAACAGTTTCTCATTTGATTAAGAGTCTGCCTGGGGTAACAGGATTTCGCCCTCATATAGACAGAGTTACACTAGAACTTTGTATACATAGGGCTGTGGCATTGCAGCTTCTGCAGTTAAAAATGGTGTTGTTACAAGACCCAAGGGATAACAATCTTTTGTTCCCTTTAGAATGGAAAATGGTGTACTGGGAAATGCCTTAGAAGGGGTGC